ATTTTATGTATCACACTTCCTTTATTATTTACAATGAATCACCCTCCTTGGTAACCTTAAAAAGACCGTAAGCCTTATTGTACAATATCTGTATGCAAGCCAAACGTCTGCGGTAGAATGGGATTCCGCCGTCCTCTTTTAGTGGGATCGACCTTCGAATATCTTATTCATGCATTTTCCTGTGAAATGAAAATCTCCCCAACAGATTCACTTTTTTTGATGATTGCCCAGATGTATTCTTCTCGTCGTTCTTCCCTGTCAAGATTGTTAGGCCTTTGCCTTGCTTGATTTCTTCGGTTGTATTCTTTTAAGCCCCAGGCCAGAGTATGGTCTAGAGCATAAAGCCAACTTACCACCGCTTTCGAGTGGTCGTTTGCCCAGAAAGTGCTGCCAAATGACGCGTCAGGTAAAAGTGATTAAAATAAAGTACTTGAAAATGGAGGTCATTTTAAAGAGGTTCAGGTTCTCAACAGTGCAAGACTAATAGGCTTATCATTTATGGGATCTATTGAACCATATCACTGCGTATTTTTCGCTGGAAATGGGAATAGCATATTGAAGAGCTGTATTCACCCTATTTCGTTTTAGGCGATGAAGGTCTAGTAGTTTGTATGTTTTCAGTGAATTTTTACATTACCTTGCTTCCCAAAAGGTATTCTCATCTTGGATAACTTTTGAGAAGAAAGGTTATTTGAAATTCATTAGAAACGTTAAGCTTTAGTATATGATTGTGCGGAAGTTCAACTGCCAGTCCTTAATAATCTTAAAGAAAAAAAGATGAATTAGGGATGGCTGGGGAATTTAGTCGATCGCCATAGCAAATGAAACTGCTTCTTTTTAGTTTATTGTCAGGTATTCGAGACTGCTAGTAGCTCATTTATATGAGATGTAGTTACCATATTTCGTGTAGGAAGAAGGTGATTACTGGTAGATGCATTTTTCTGCAATCATATGAGTAGGCTTCATTTTCACATAATCTTACTGCTCGAAAAGTATTCTCATTCGGGCAAGAATATACTACAGTTCGACCTGGTCCTAGTCTCATCGGGACACCTGGCGGGACTCGAACCCTAGGTGTGGTAGGCCAGCGCATAATCTCGACGTGTTAACCACCACGACAGACTGACACAAGTGCACATGTGCAAATGGCAGACAAGGATTTCAAAAAAGTTTGGGTTTTTCCAATTTCCCAGTCCTGTGGTGAGATTGTCATCGAAGCAAAGTTGTATGAAATGAATGGTAGTCTCGAAAAACTATTGATAGACAAAAACTATTTAATGTAGTCGATTGTTGTAGCAATTACATCTTTGCTTCATCGATAATCCCACCGCAGAATGCTATATGGGAAAGCACCTTTTCTACTTTGCAATTCACGTCTGCTCTGTGACCCAAGGCCATTCGTGGCAATGTGGTGTAATAGTAAACGTGTCGAAGTTGTATGCTGCATCGTCATGGTTCGAGTCCAGCTGAAGATGCTGATGAGACCTGCACGAGGTCGAAACTGCAGTCCACACCATCCGAAATAAGAATATCTTCTGGGAAAGCAAGTATATGTGAAATTAAAAGTAAAAGTAAGGTCAAATCACAGCATTGTGCTAGAATTCATCTACAAGTAATCACCCTTTCAGTCGAGTAAATGGGGAAAACTTATTTCTATGTTTTTCTTGAGCCACAATGCCTTTTTCATGCTAGAATGTGAGCTCTAGTCGCTCTGGTTGAGCAGGGATTAATTGTTAGATTTCCCCACAATCATTTGAATAGGCATCGCGCTTCAATTCAATTTCATATAACTTTGGTTATAAAAGGTATTTTCATACAGAATGAACTGTAGTTTCGACCTCGTCAATATCGCACCAGCATTTCAGAGAGATTTGAACCCCTAGATTCAATTCGGGCCAGGGAAAACTGTCACTACCTTATCATCTTATGCAGCTTTGGTTGAATGCATTTTTTACATTATTTATAGGTTTTCGAGAGCTCTTCTCTTAGACTTACTGATAATCTTGATAGCCTACTTTCAATTAATGCAAGTAGTATTGGCATCTTTCACTTGATAGGCCTAGTGTAGAAATTTGACTGGCCTTGATTGTAGTTGACTTTTGCCCTGTTACTCGGAGGTATTCGTGGCAGTATGACGTAATAACAATGTGTCGAGAGTAAACGTTGAACTACTTTGGTTCGGTTCTCTTAAGGGGAACTGATGCGATTCAGTTGAGCTAGGATGAAAATACTTTTTAGGAAGCCAGGCTATGTGAAATGTAATGGAGTCATGTCATTGTGTGAAAACTCAACTATCAGACTTTCATCATCTTATGTGATCTAGATTGACTAGAAAACTTGTTTATGATTTACTGATCGTCTTGAAGGCGGAGTTTACCTTTCATCGCTAATCCATCCCATCTGCTTTCTTCCCTCAATTCCCGGTTATTAGCGAACGCGGCCCGATTCCTGAGAAACTGTGCCGGGCTACACCAGTCCTGCTCAATCCACATCTCGTCATTCCCGAATCAGCAGCCCGACACTACCAACGCGACTTTGTTCCCAACGTCTCATTGCTCGCCGCAAGTGAACAAAAGTCCGGCCCTGTCGACCTTGACGACGACCATTCCGATTCCCATGTCCATCGTCGTCACCACCACCGTCGCCGCCGTCACTATCATCACCAGAACCAGAACCAGCACCAGCGTCAGCATCACCAGCATCGCCACCGCCAGCATCACCAGCCCCACCAACAACAGCAGAATGATCTCTCTTCCGATCAGCTTCACGAACTCCCGTACCATCATCGGCATGATTGGAACGTATCCGAGCGATCGTGTCCAACTGATCGTCTTACTGCCGCCACCGACCGTAATGCATCGGTTAAGCCAGGCTTGCCAACAGACAAGTCCGGTCGTCAACATGCTTGTCTTCTATCGAATCGGGTTTCCGGCACAGACGCATCGAATGGTCCCTCTGGACTTCTGTGCTCTCGCTTTCCATCTACCACCTCGTTTAGCCGATCATCTTCTTCCCGATCACAGACTGCCTCCAGTTCTGTCGGCTCCTCGTCATTGCTGTTTCAGTCGTCTCTTAATTCTACCTCTTTCTCTTGTTTGTCTCGTTCGTCTTCTTCATCATCGTCGTCTTCGTCGTCTTCGTCGTCTTCATCCTCTTCGTCGTCATCCCGAAGAAGCAGCGCTCTCGACTGGAACGTCAGTTCCCGTTCCGACTCGGATCAAGCGGATCGCCTCCTGTCGCCCAACCGCCTGACTCTCTTCGAGGTCGAGCGTCGCGCCCGAAGTCTGCCTTCCAGCCGATCGGCCGACGACAGATCCAACTGCGGACGATCACGTCCCGCCGACCGGCTGGCCCGTTCTCTCAGCCCCATTCTTCGTCCAGCCTCGACGTTGTCGACGTCACCGTCGAAAGGTGATGCTTATTCATCGTCTCGACGCACTCCTGCGTCGGATGAGGCGACAAAGCAGACGCTCCCGTCCGCACTTCCGGTCTCGGCAACCGGCTCCCGGCGGCTGGTCAAAAAGGGGACAGGAGCGAAGAGACGGCGACACGATGTGCAGCCGCACAGACGGGACCATCTCACCTCGGCAGAAGAGACGATATTGCGCTATCGAAGTGGGCATCCCAACAAAACGGGTTCTCAACTGTTGGTGGAGGGATATCGGTTGCCGAGGCGAGTCAGACACACGAAAGCAATGAAAGCGGCTTTTCAAGCTCAGAAAGCAGCTCAACGGGCTCCACCAACTCTCATTTCGGCCAGCAAGCACCGAGGTAGACTGCACAAAGAAGAGAGAGAGAGAAGAAACAAGATGGTTTAATCGTTTTTCGTAGCTTGATCCAGTTGTCAGGGCGATAGAAATGCGAGGAAACAGACTTCACTGTAATGAGATGTATTCACCCTATTTCGTGTAAGGTGATGAAGGACTGGTAGTAGAATTTCCCACAATGA